GGTGCCTTGCCTTAGCCTCGTCACTACTTCGTCGAGGTTAGGCTCGACACTTACTAGTACATGTGGTCGTTTGTACTGATACTGCACTCTGCACTTTCTGTGCATAAATTGATACTGGCTCGGGTTGATCGAGATTTTGCTATTGGTCCGCTGTCCGGAGACTCAAGGTAGATCTGTCGGCGTTCACAGACCTTGAAGTCCCCGTCTATCTTTTCTGTTCTACTGTTTTTTCATTCAAACAATTATATTTCTTTTAGATTATTACTTGTAGTAAATTCTAAAATGCTCGTGAATTGTGACTCCAGATTCGGGTGGTAGTAATTAATACAGTTTTATGATATTCCGCACTTATTATATTTCATCTTAGTTAATTATTGTTAATTACTGAATGGGAATAAGGAATTGGTTTAATGTTTCTCTAACGTTGGCTTGCCTAGCAAGTGAAATGTTAGGCGCCATTACGGTCCCGTCGGTGGGAAATTTCGGGTCGTGACAAATATAATCATGAGATTAATTATGTATTCAAATATATTCAGGAGATTGTACTGTATGTGCTCTGCATTTTGTATTCACATGTATTCAAATATATTCAGATTGTACTGTATGTGTACTGCATTTTATATTCATAAGTATTCAAATGTATTCAGATTGTATTGTATGTGTAATGCATTTTGTATTCATATGTATTCAGCAGATTGTAATTATGTATTCAGATATAACTGCACCTGTGTGTATTCATATTTATTCAAAATATAAATGCAGTATGTATTCAACAGTTTACTAAATTATATTTTTACTAACTGTTCTAAAAAGAAATCATCACGCAATAATCCAATATTCCAACAAATCAATATGTATGATTTCAAAATGTCACCGGAATCTATGACACATTGTTATTGCAGTAATACAAATCAGAACATGAACTAAGTCCTACGTAGAGCATTTCTACAAGTACGCTTATTGTGTCCTCCCTGCCCACATATGCTACACGAATGTTGATTTTTCTTCTGCAACAATTCACGGAACGGCTTATCGTGCTTCTTCTTTGGCCTTCCAGGAGGTCTTTTCCATTTGGGTGGTAAGACAACTTCCTCTGATATATGTGCTGGTATGTTCCATTCATTTCGGTCAAGCAGCAGATACGCAGGCACCTCGTATGTCATTACAACCGACTTTGGTTTGTAATAGTCCGAGCAATAATCTTCTGGCATTAGAAACTTGCTCTTCAAGACAGCCCAAGCATGTGGGCATGGTAATTCATCAACTTGGAACCGTCCACAACTGCACTTTCTCTCTAAGAGGCAAACAGTATAATGCCTTTCTTCATCGTTCACCATATGCAAGTATTCAGTCGATGGTTCAACCTACATTTAAACATAGACCTATAAGTTTTGAACATTTTTAAAAAGTCATATATATCTCAAAGAATAGACATATTAAATACAGTATAGATATATACAATAATTGTTTTTTAAATATACAACAGTAAACTTTTATTTAGCTTTCAGAATCATCATCTATATTGAATACAAACAAATATATATGTATAAAATACAATGAAATACAAACATATATGTAGATATAAAATACAAAGACATACATTGATATACAATGAAATATATTGAATACCGTGGAATACAGTCTATATTTAGGCTGGCAAAATATTAAAGATGATGGCATTTTAACTGATGAATATAGTGATATATAGTAACATATAGACTATCTGCTTAGGAAATGCATCTGATTAGAAACAAAACCATTGAATTCAACCAATGAAATGCAAATGTATAAACAAGTAATGTATACATATAATGATCAGTTTTTTAAACATTTCATAAAACAGAAAACATGCACAACTGCTATAATACAATGAGCATGCCGTATGTGAATAGTATAAATTATATCAGAAATAAATACATGTTGTACCAGGCAAAATACATGATATAATGACTTAAAGAAAAACTTATAGTCATGCGTGTAGATATTGCCTCATTCAAAGTAAGCATCTCCTGGTATTTTTTTTCCAAGCGTTGTGTACGTGTGTGAAGCTTCTTTCCGATTGCTGCAATTCCAACGTCCAAACATCTTCTTAACTTCTTCGAGGAAGTCGTATATTGGCAATTTTCTTGCTGACACAAGTGCGGCATTGATTGACTCAACAATATTTGACGTCATGGTCCATCTCCTGTTAACAGGTGCATACAACCTAGCCCACTTTTCGTATCCAGCTAATTCCAAGTATTCTTTCACCCTAATATCTACCTTCTCCACCTTCTCCATTAGACTATCAAATTCAGCCTGTGTGTATGCTTTTGCCATCGAGAAGTATATCTCGCTCAACTTTGAATGACTCTTTTTGAATTTCTTATATACGTTGTTCCATAGATGCCATATACAAGTAAAATGTGGTACCGTTGGATACACTCTCGATACAGATTTGATGATACTCTCATTCCTATCTGAAATGATGCACATGTTTTCCCTCTCACCATATGCTTCCTTGAATTGCTNATGTCCCGGTGTATGCCGATTTTAGGTTGCTGCTATCCACAACTACAATGGGTCTACAATGATCGCACCCCTTTATAAAGGCATACAAAGATATATACACATACATGAACCCAGTTTTTGGCGATTTTACCATTCTAATGTGCGAATCAGGATATGTCATATCCATTGTATATAAGTACCCTGGTAATTTATTGTATGAATCAACCGGTTCACCTCTCAAAAAATTCATTGCCTTTTCTTTAGCCCGCCACGCCAACATGTAACTAACATCTACACCAAAATCTGATTTCACATCATTAATTATATCCTTTGGTGTGTATTTCCTCTTATGATTAGTAAGCTTGGACCTAATCATACCACCGATAAGACTACTACTTGCTTGACGTTGCTCATACACCTTATCCTTCAACAGACATGTATGCTTATTATTGAACTCTCTCACTTTGATCATTTGTGATTTGTTAATGCTAGAAGCCTTAAATCTCCATTCACAATCCCCTGACATACATAATAATGTATAGCTGCAAATATATTTTCGTAATATATACGATCAGTATAAATGATTAAAGAATACACTCATATACACGTGAATACATTGTTACACACACACACACACACACACATATATATATATATATATACACACACACATTATTACAAAATACACATATATACATGTGAATACGAGTATAATTATATATATACATCTAAAAACAAACAATGAAATTCACTGTAATAACTATTTATCAGTAAAATACACACACATATATATATATATATATATATATATATATATATATNATAATTATATATATACATCTAAAAACAAACAATGAAATTCACTGTAATAACTATTTATCAGTAAAATACAGATGAATACATGTATTTGAAATACATAACACATTCATAAGTACAACAATGAAAGTCATGTAAATACATCCAAATATATCTAAATACATCTAAATACATTAAAAATTCTGCAATGAATACATCATACAAAAAATTCAAAATACATAACCATACATTTGAATATAACATGATGTTCAACAAGTTGTAAGTAAGAACACTCAAACTTGATAGCATTAGACCTATCAACCCGGAATTAAAACCTTTCAGCTATTGTATAATGCTCCATCACCTCTTTCAATGTAGCCTTATTCTTATATACTTGTCCAGCCATAACCTCTCTTTGATTAGTTTTTGAAATAATCAAATCCGTGTCCAGTTCGAATACCTCAATTGGTTCACCTGAATTGACAGACTCAAGAGCAAGTGTATCATTTGTATCAAAATTACACCTTTGATTTGCTTCGTCTATTTGCACAAGGTCGCCATGAATTAAACTACCTCCAGCTACAACTTCTTTGTTCATTGTTGTTATACACAAAGGATACATCCCGAATTCTCTGTTCTCTTTTTTCAATTCTACATACATCATGTAACCCATGTCGTTGTGTATTTCCATTGGCGTGCAATTTCCTTCTACTTTGTATTCAATTTTAATTGACTTGAGCTAAAATCTATGTCGAGTTGCTTCAAAATTGAAGCAACCAAATCATTGTACGACGCATACTCCTTTATCAATCGCGTACTATGACTCGACCACAACGTATAGATGCTCGTCACCTCAACTATACGTCGTATTCAACAACAAAACACGTAGTAAATACTCACACAATACCTATTCCCTCATGCCGAAGTTAGACACAACACTTACCTCGCTCCGAAGGCCACTTAATTCTCAATCCCAGCTTTTCCCTTGGAATTCACCTCCAAACCACTCGTATCTATTCAAAAATGACTCAACAATATCAAATATTGCTAAAGAAATCAATTATATTTCATAAATTAAATTTTCCAACTTTTTCCTCCAAAAAGTCGAAAAATCGACCCCGGGCCCGCTTGGTCAAAACCCGAGGTTCGAACCAAAATCTTTTTACCCATTCACCCCCGAGCCCGAATATGTAATTAGTTTTGGAATCCGACCTCAAATTGAGGTCTAAATCCCCAAATTCCCGAAATCCCTATTTTCTACCCTAACCCCTAATTCTACCATGAAAACTCTAGATTTTAGGTTGAAAATTCAAGAAATGTAATGGGTAATTGAAAGAAAATGGTTTAAAATCACTTACCAACAATTTGGGGAAGGAATAACTCTTGAAAAATCGCCCCTCACCGTTTGGTTTTTGAGAAAAATGAGTTTTTTTGGCAAAAATTCCGTTTTGGATTCTGTTAAGTGCCGGGCGACAGTGTTCATCGCGTTCGCGAAGTGTATGGGCCGCCAAGCCTTCGCGTTCGTGAGGCAGTGCTCGCGTTCGCGAGGCAGTGCTTGCGTTCGCGAGGCAGTGCTCGCGTTCGCGAAGGCTACCCTTCCCTGGTCTTCGCGTTCGCGAGACATTGCTCGCGTTCGCGATGAAGAAAAGGCTGACTCCCCCTCCCCAGTGCCTAATACTATGCGTTCGCGATGGGCTTGTCATATTCGCGAAGGGTAACGCCCCCATTGCTTCGCGTTCGCGACCAAGCCTTCGCGTTCGCGAAGAAGAAATCCTCAGCTGCCTAGTTTACTCTTCGCGTTCGCGAAGGTACTCTCGCGAACGCGAAGAAGGACATGCCAGAACATAGACTCTGCAGAAAAAACCAGATTTCCAAAGTCCAAAACATCCCGTGGCCTATCCGAAACCTACCCGAACCCTCGGGGCTCCAAACCAAATATGCACACAAGTCTAAAAACATCATACGAACTTGCTCGCGTGATCAAATCGCCAAAATAACACCTGGAACTCTAAATTTAGCACCAAATCAAATGAAATTCTCAAGAACACTTTAAAATTTCTATTTTCTCAACTGGACGTCCGAATCACGTCAAATCAACTCCGTTTCTCACCAAATTTCACAGACATGTCTTAAATATCATAATGAACCTGTACCGGGCTTCGGAACCAAAATACGGACCCGATACTAACAATGCCAAATATCAATAAATTCTTAAAAATAAATAATTTTCAACTTTTAATTTTCATCAAAAATTCATAACTCAAGCTAGGGACCTCCGAATTCGATTCCGGGCATACGCCCAGGTCCCATAATTCGATACGGACCTACCGGGATAGTCAAAGCACAGATCCAGGTCCGTTTACCAAAAATATTGACCGAAGTCAACTAAAATAAACTTTTAAGGTAAAAATTCTTATTTTTATTAGTTTTCAACATAAAAGCTTTCCGGAAACCTAACCGGACTGCACACGCAAATCGAGAAGGGTAAAAATGAGATTTTTAAGGCTTAAGAGTGCAGATTCGAGTTCTAAAGCATAAGATGACCTTTTGGGTCATCACAATCTCCACCTCTAAAACAACCGTTCGTCCTCGAACGGATATAGAAAAGTACCTGGGCTGGTGAAAGGGTGGGGATATCTACTCCGCATATCGGACTCGGACTCCCAACTAGCTGCCTCAATAGGCTGACCTCTCCACTGCACTCGAACTAAAGGGTAACTCTTTGACTTCAACTGACGAACCTGCCGGTCTAGAATGGCCACCGGCTCCTCCTCGTAAGTCAAATCCTAGTCCAACTGGACAGAGCTGAAATCTAATACGTGGGACGGGTCATTATGATATTTTCGGAGCATAGACACATGGAATACCGAATGAACTGAGGATAACCCTGGAGGCAGCGCAAGTCTATAAGCTACCTCCCCCACTCTCTCGAG